AAACACCATCTTAAATGTTTATTTTAGATCAGGCCAGATATGATTCATAACGCGAAGTGATGATGAAGCAGTCTCGTCGGGATTTAGAGGGTAAAAACCCCGAATCATTCACTTTCTTCTTCTTCTTCTCTCTCTCTCTCTCTCTCTCTCTCTCTCTCTCTTTCTCTCTCTTACTTATACAGGGGTGGTTCCAGGTTTTTGTTGAAGGAGGGGGGGGGGCACAAAAGTGTTAAAAGATGTTAGCAAACTTCTTTAATAACATGTAGCTCATTTGTTAATATATAGTTAGGCACCTTTAACATGTAAAAAGGTGCTTAACAGTTTAAAGGAGCAACCTTTCCTTGCAGTGTTGAACTTCTTTTGTCCTTCTACTTCTCTCTATCTCTATCTCTCTCTTTCTCTCTCTCTCTCTTTCTCTCTCTCTCTCTTTCTCTCTTTATCAACACACCCACACACACACACACACTCTCTCTCTCTCTTTTTTTCTCTCTCTCCATTTTCCTCTCTCTCCATCTCTCACAATCTCTCTCTCATTTTATACAAGCAAACCACATGTGGGAGCAGTATTAATATGTTCTCACAACGTTTCCCTTGGTATGTTGATAAACGGTTGTTATCGAAAAGTTTCCTTTTGAAGTGAAATCAATGGTAAAGAAGCATTTAGAAACTGACGTGTATTTCTGATTAAGTAGCAATCAAACAGAATTTCAGATTTATTCTTGCGATCATTTTGTTTAGTTTGGGCTGAAACAATTACGTAAGTAGCGTAATTATCAATCCCCCTTTTAAAAGAATAACAAAATACCGTCAATATTTACGTTGTGATCTTTTTGGATATTTCTCTTAAAGAGGAGTTTGCAAAATGAGAAGTGAAATATATAGAACCCCCTTGCTATTTCTAGAACCATTTTACTTTTACTGCTGTTTCAATTTCAGTTTCAATTCCAGTTTTTATTTTCATTTCCAACAGAACAATTACGGTATCATCAATTAAAAGAGAATGCACACATTAATTTGCTTTAAGTTATGCTTTTTTTTTTCAAAGTAAAAACTCTGGAAATGGAGGGATCCAATGAAAAGCGAGGCTCGTAGAATGTGGATCCCTCAAATAATGATAATCATAAACTTACGTAATAAATACATATAAATTTGATGATAAAAAGAATATTTATAACAATATGCATATCATAAATTAGGGTGAACATGCAAATGCCAACAGAGAATTACAACGACGAATTACATGACTAGACAGGACACAAAAGCATAAACATAAATATACAAGAAAATTGTCCTAGTATGAGCGCTCTCATTATTAGCACTAAATGTGTTGTTTCAAAGAGATTTTATTTCAGGTCAATTCGTTTATAGGAGTGAATGATGAAACATTGGAAAGCTACCTATTTTCAAAAACACAAAAACAAAAAGGGCATGAAAAGGAATTACAAGGTTCTTTTATGGAATATTTAGTAGTTTTGTATACCATTTAGGGTTTAATTGCTTTCATTTAAAAAAGAAAAAACCTCAAGCTCTTAATTTGAAGACGCGTTACTATTTTGTTGTCTCTAATTATGATTCAGTCATACAATTTGACAGAAAAATGGACCACAAAATGACCCCCCCCCCCGGTTCACCCGCTAAAGGATTAATATGTCTAGACCAGTGATGTGGGATGTGGCTGTGATTTTGAGGAACTTGAACCCTATAAGCTATGCTTTTTATTCAGTTCCTTTTTTCACATGTAGTTTCGAAATTATCTAGTGTAAATGCAATATAAACTTATGCCGTGTAGATGTCTTTATTGTTCATGAATATAATCTTTCTATATGATATAATTATGGTTTGTTGAAGGGATGTCCCATTTGCAGCCAACATCAAGTTATGTAGAACTTCGCAGGAACTATGAACATGTCACGTATGTCCGATCTGTGAAATGTAAACGTTAGCAGTGTCCTTTTATTCAAACCCGTTTACTTTCTAGACTTCACCGCCAGACACTATTGAGTGAATGAGTGACTTTTTTCGCGCAGTAAAAAACGTACGACCATTCGGTACAAGGGTCTGAAAATCAGACTATTACTTAAGAGATTGCGATCAAGTAAGTCGAATTGACAACTATAAATGGTCGTTATTTTCCCACTTCAAGACATTTTCAAGCCCTTTCGTTTTGCGGGAAGTTCTAAATTAGTATTATCTTTCGAATGCCGTTGGAATTTTACAATTTGTTTGGCCTGCAAATGGGACATAGTACCTTTGATGTATTGTTTTAACTAAACTGAAGCTAAACTTGAACTGATGAACTCTCTGCAACCATACAATCTAAGACATTCTGATTAAATCAAAGTCTGGACCAGGCTACAATTTTGATACGTCCGATCCAGTTTATTGTGACGTCACACTGCTACAAAATATAGTCAATATTTAATGCTTACAATGTATAAGGTGACGAAAAGTATGGTAGCAGAGATTTGCCCATATTTGGTCATGCGACCTTGAATGTTGGCGGAAATAAGACCCGAAAATAGGATTTTAGTTCGGAAGCGGATAGTGTTTATATTACACCTTTTGGTAATGGCGTAGCGTGTGGGACCACCAGTATTGAGGGGGCACTGTTGCATTTAGTTTGTGGGGGGGGGGGGGGTGCGGGACATGGAGAGAAAACACGACTTGAAAATAGGACGTTAGTCGGAAACGGATAGTATTGATCAGTAACCTTTAGCAGTCACGTATCTTGGGTGTTATACGGGGGGGGGGGGGGGTGGGGCGGACGGGAGAAGGGATTCGAAAAATGGACTTTAGTCGGAAGCGGAAAGTGTCTATCCTGCACTTTTTTTTGGAGTTGTGAAGCTTCAGTCAAGTCAGTGGCAGTATTAGCCTCTTGTCGATGGCCCTCGCGTTGTTGGAGTCCGTAAATTATGGCGAGCGAAGCGAGCCAGAGAAACCGAGCGCAATCGCTGCGGTCTAGACATGCATAATTCAGTAGGAAATCGGTCTCATGAATATATAATTCAGATCACTTGTCAAGAGGCCCTCGCTCGCGCTCGGTTTCTCTGTCTCGCTTCGCTCGCCAGAATTCACGGACTCCAACAACGCGAGGGCCATCGACAAGAGGCTATAACAGTATCGGATGGGGGGGGGGGGGGGGCGCCGCCGGCAGTTTTATGGATGAAATGGATGTAGAACGATCGAGAAGAAGGTGGTTTGGGATCGAGGGGTCCGTATCATCTTGTTTTTGCGTCGCCTTACGGTCTTTAACTCTCTCTCTCTCTTTATTTATTTATATATATATTCTCTCTCTTTCTCTCGATTCTCCCTCAGTTTCTCGCTCTCACTTTCTCTCTCTTTATCACTCCCCTCTCTTTCTTCCTACCGCTCCCCCTTCATCATTCGATGGAATGGGGAGGATGCCCTCGCTGCTACACCACGTGCATTCCGAATCATTCTCTCCATTCTATGCGACACTCTTTGATCAATTTGGGGGAATGATGTATAGTCTCGAAGATAAAACAGCCCGCCCCCGTAGTTTTTTTTTCTTCATCTTCCCGGTGCGGCGTTTGAATATTAGAATAGAGAAAATAGTGGGGCACACGTTGAACCAACATGAACACAAAATGGGATTCCCAGTTTAAGTGCTACATTGACCTACCTTTTTAGCGATATCAAAATAATTACAAAGTCAATAACGGCAGCAATATGTAAACATATTCTTCAAACACATCGGTTTTCTTTAGGAATGCATGTGGTACATACGTAATTCAGCCCACATGAAATATTTGATTCATGAATTCACGATTTCATTTTCGTTTTTATTTCAAATAAACTTAAACGGACTATTTAACATTATGAAAAGATAATGAAAAATCAGCCTAGCAAGATGATTGTAGACAGACTTTTGTTTTTGTGACAATGTAAATAAAGTTCATGTGAAACTATGCCTCTACACTGTGAAAAGATTCGGCAATATTTTTCCCACACTTTGCCCAACGTTGTGCAAATAGTCAACCCAACCATTTATTGGGCAATATTTTGCCCAGTGGTATTGGTAAACGTCAGTACCCAACTCCACACGTGCATAGTTGTCTTGTATTATGCCCAACATAGCTAGTCAAGATTTTCCCAACAAGTGGGCTACCGTCGTCGGGCAGTTGAAGAGTTTATTGCCCATGCAACAAAAGAATTACCAACGTAACTTTACTCATTTTTTTCACAGTGTATAGTTATGATAATATACCCAATAAGGTTATTCATACAGCAGTTTAAAGATATTTCTTAGTACTCAACATGAAATGTAACAAGAGGAAGCAAAACCCTCTCTATAAAAGTCGATCATTTTCCTCAAAATTGATAGCTATGATAATATACCTAATAAGGTTATTCGTACAGCAGATTAAAGAGATTTCTTACTACTCAACATGAAAACGAATAATCGGAAGCAAAAACCCACTTTAAATGTCGATCATATCCCCCAAAATGTTCACACACATTATTTGTATTGTGCAAGAATAACGAAATTTAATGAACATCCACGACATCTACAGCCAAGTCAGATATAAATTTGAACCTTAAGGGTGGGCATTCTGGATCTATATCAGTCCGAAAATTCGGTGATCTTTGACAAGACAAAAAGAAGAAGTAGAAGAAGGAGAAGGAGGAGGAGGAGGAAGAGGAGAAGAAGAAAAAAGGAGAAGAAGATTATGAAAACGAAGAAGGCGAAGAAGGAAGAAAGAAAGAAATAACGACAGAAATAGAAGATCATCAGCCATCTTTCCTGCCCCCGCCGGGATCCGCCACTCAAGACTACTAGACACACCTGCGCTCACTCCAAGAAAATAAACTTCTACGCTGTTTAGTCGGAAACAGCAGAGCGGAACTGTTTCGGGGACTCACCACGGTAACCGGACCTGAGGACGCATAAAAGCCAGGAATTTGTCGAAAGGGACTCAAAATTGTTACCGTCCATTGTGAAGCAAAGACATGGTCTGACGTTTGGAGGCAATCTTTTATCAAAAGCTGGTGGACAAAAAAAAAGAAAAAACCGCCTTGTAACACTTGGATGATTATCTACGAAAGGTGCTTGATTTGTCTATTCTAAGAGCGCATCGGTCCCTGAAAGATTTTCTTGTAATACCTGCTTAGTAGTGAAAGTGAGCGTCAGAGATTTGGATTCACTCGGCTGCCAGATCACTTTTGGATTCGCTTCAGAACAGATCGCTATTCCCATCGCGTTCAAGCAAGGAATAATATTTACTTTATATTATCAGCAACTGTGAAAATAAACCATCACCATGTTCGCTAGGTTAGCACAGCGCGCATTCTCCGTTTCGGCCAGGAGTTCGGCAAACCTTCTCGGAGTCGCGTCATCGGAGGCGACGTCGATGACCACCACGGGCCGCATCGGCAGGTGTTTGAGGAAATCGCTGTTGAGGAATTTCCCAGAAGACGATCTGCTTAGCTGCTTCGACAACATGAGTATACAGAAGAGATATTTGGGAACGTCTGCGATGAAGACAACACCGGTTGTTCCTCAGCTTCAAGTCTCAGCAGGTGAAAAGCTTAAACGAATAAGGAAAATCTAAAGTAGTAATGGTAAAATCATAAATTCGAGGGTACCTTCTTATGGGATAGACGTTTATCTCCGCAAGGATAATAGCCTACTTTTACGAAGATACTTCAAGATATATATATATATATACAGTGTGTATTATAGACTCCAGTCGTCGTGTTTTGTTCTATTCAATAATGTACAATATGGGGCATCTTGAAACGTTGATTAATAACAATGGAGGGGGGGGGGGGGAATGATTCCATCTTCTTTACATGTGTTGTGACAAGGTAATGTACCTTGCTTGAATGTCTTGGTGTTTATTAACCCCATATAAAATACATGATACTGTAAATGTATATTATTATGATAACATAGCCTATATAATAAACTTCACCTTCTGCCTGCATTTACTAGGCAACTAAACATTTACGGTCACAAATTAACCGTGAAGTAAAATTAACTGACTTTAAGAAAAAACAAAAATGACGAAAGGATCTTGACCAACCATTTTATTTTCTCATTTCTTGAACAGACGACTATGAAGTTGACCCCGAACTCGTTACAAGGTACGTTGTCCGGCCGTCGGAGATCGACGACTGCGGCGACATCCTGAAGCTGGTACGAGGGCTCGCGGAGTGGGAGGGGACCATTGACCAGGTCGAAATCACCGAGGAAGGTAGATACAATCGCTTTAAAAAAAAATCACTTTAAAATTATTTTTTTTTTTAATCACTTTTGTTCCCGGAACCATCCGATAACAAGTTGTAAATTATCTTCAATATCACTCTTTGCTGTTGATTGTTTTGACATTTTATGATTGTATCCCTACTTTTGTTTTCTTTCTGTTTTTATTTAAATACAAGACATGCCCCTAGATCTTTCTCTATGCGAATCTATATATCTGATTTCAAACAGCGATAGTCTTTATGGATCAATAGCATTGACAAGTTTAAAGTATGGCGTGTTTTCTCGCATTTATACAATATATTGGTTTATGACAGATACCTCACAAGTGTGACCTCTCTGGAGAATAGGCATATAATCCTCATACTTTAATGATCCTCTTTGTAGATCTGAAAAAAGACGGCTTCGGATCGAACCCTTGCTACCAGTGTGTCTTGCTCGAGGCTTTTGAAGATGATGGTGACCACAGTGTCATAGGCTATGCCATGTTTAGTGGGGGCTACTGCGCATGGAAGGGGCGCACCATCACGTGGGAAGACCTTTTCATTCATCATGATTATAGAGGTGAGTTATATCCCTAACCAACAAAACTAACACTTATATATATCAAATCAAACAAATACCAGGAGAAAAAAATGAAAGAAGATAATAAAATATCGTCATCCTCAGCAGCACGACTACCACCACCCCACCACCATCACCACCACCACCACCACCACCAACAACAACAACAAAATGATAATAAAAATAAGCAAGGTAATATAATTTTAATGATAATAACTCTCTTAAAAATGTACTTGAAAATTTGATTGGACAGAATACATCTTGATGGAAAAGGAAAAATTTCATATCAGTTTATCAAAACCCAACTATATCACAAAAGGGAAGACAAACATCGAATAGAGAAGATGGAAACATGGCAATGAAATATTGCTTTTGAATCTATGAGCTTTTATTGACAACTTTCCTTTGATCTTCCGAGTCAATGTAGGTTTTATATCAATCCTGTCAATAGATTTAAATTTATCTTTGGGCCAAGACTACTACAAATGTTAATTTTAGTTTTATTCTAATTCTCAAGATTGTTATCGGCCTATTGTTTTGGTCGCATATCACTAATATTCTGATTTTAATTTTTTCTTTGCAGCAAAAGGACTTGGGGCTGTACTACTCCATGAAGTATGTAAGGTGAGTTTCATGATGTTTGGGTCTTGCAAATACAATTTGAGAAGAACAAATCATGGTAGATCTATAGAGCACCAGTGCTGATCAGTTCTTACATATTTTGTTTGAGGTTGTATATAAACTAGGCCTACTATATTCTTCTAAAGGAAAACAACAAAATTGTTATCATGTTATGTAAGTGAAGATCATTTTCAAATTGTACCAAATAAAATTCAAATCACACTTAAGAAACTAAATGTTTTCATTTCCACAATAACAGAGAACTAATGTGTGAAAATTGAAGTCATTAACAAAAAAATCACCATCTATCACCTAATCTTCTCATGAAGCCATCATGATAATCCTGTATCATCTCTCTTTCAATTTTTAGATGGGTTATCTGGACGGCTGCAAGTACATCAGCGGCTACGTCGATATCGAGAATGATCGGGCAAAGCAGTGGTACGAAGACATCGGATTCGAAAACCAGACTCAGAAACATGGCTACAACATCATGTCCATGGCCGGCAACTCGCTGCAACATTATGTCACCGACCACAAACCCATCGAGAAGCTTGGAAGGAGAGGCGTGCATGTTTCGTCGCTTGTTACAAATTGAGTTTATCATCTTATTTCCAACTGATTTTAAAGACAAAAGTTGAGTTGTGAGATTTGAGAACCAGACTCAGAAATATGGCTACAACATCATGTCCATGGCCGGCAACTCGCTGCAACATTATGTCACCGACCACAAACCCATCGAGAAGCTAATTGGAAGAAGAGGCGTACATGTTTCGTCGCTTGTTACAAATTGAGTTTATAAGTTCTTATTTTCCACTGAATTTAAAGACAAAAGTTGAGTTGTGAGATTTGAGAATTAGACTCAGAAATATGGCTACAACATCATGTCCATGGCCGGCAACTCGCTGCAACATTATGTCACCGACCACAAACCCATCGAGAAGCTTGGAAGGAGAGGCATACATGTTTCGTCGCTTGTTACAAATTGAGATTATAAGTTCTTATTTTCCACTGATTTTTAAAGACAACGTTGAGTTTGTCTTTCAATGTGCAATATTACAAGTATTATGTTTTCAAATGTATATATATTATATCAATGAAGTAGTTAACACGTCATGAGGTCTCGGTTTTTATGTTTAAGTTTGAAAGAAGAGCACGGATAATATTTCTTTAATGATATTTATTATACAGGTGATGTGACATATTCCTGTATAACTTTATTTGTTAGCATATTGTATTCTGATATCAATAACACTTCTTTGCCAACACGTAATGCTGATAGTAATACCGCGTCGAGTATTATTTCCAAAAAAAAAAAAAAAAAAAAAAAAAAAAAAAAAAATTGTGGGGGGGGGGGGGGGGAGAAGAAGCAGAAGAAGAAGAAGAAGAAGAAGAAGACGAAGAAGAAGAAGAAGAAGAAGAAATATTACAACGATACAGACGTACGGCTGGATATCACATCTCCATATATTTACTACAATATATTTTAGTTCAATGCAGTTTCTATACAAACCTTGCAGTCCTATGTCAACAGCGTGAAAGAACAAAACTGTGAAATATGAAATTCTTCGATCTAATTTGATATAGTTATGGACAAAGGTCAAGGGAAAAGTCACTTCAAATTGCGAGTGGCGAGCTGTTTAAACATTCCAATCATATGACGTCACAATGTCAAAGACCTTGCTCAGATGCTGTTTTCTCTGCACGGCTTTGGTGTACTCAACGCTCGAGCCTATAAAGAGAATGTATTCTGTAAGAAAACAAAACCTTGAAAAACTATTTATGCAAGCACGATATGATATTTGTGTATTTATTTATTTAAAGTATTTAAAATGTATGTACTACTTTCTTATCACATGTACATTTTGACTTCGCCTCATATTTTGTAATGAATAAATCTCCCTTTTTATGAACAATAATACATAATCAAGAGTCTAAGTATTCTAATATGAAAAATACTTCACAAGTGAGTTACTTGTTATAACTCATGGAATCAACATTATATGGAGTGGAGAGACAGAAAGAGACAGAGAGAAGAAAGACAAAGATACAGAGAAAGAGAGATAGAACGACAGAGAGACAGAGAGAGAGAGAGATAGAAAGACAGAGAGATAGAAAGACAGAGAGACAGAGAGAGAGAGGGAGAGAGAGATTGAAAAAGCCTAGATAGATAACAGAGAGCGTGTGGGAGGGAGGTGTATATATTAGCGAGAGATATTGTTTTTTATAAGGCAGATACCTTTCCAGGTAAGAGGAAAAGATACACTCAATACGAAATTGATGTAAAAGAGGAAATGAATACATGAAATATGAGAGGAATTAGGGATCAAGGTTGAGACAGGGAGCGAGAGGGGAGAGACCTCACTATGAACATGACAGACAATGAAAGCGGACAAAATATACAGTTCCTCAGGAAAACAAAGGAACATCCCTTCACTGCTATTATGTAAAAATGTGTAGAACAGGTGAATATGCATGTGACACCTGTTCTACACATTTTTACATAATAGCAGTGAAGGGCTGTCCCTTTGTCTACCTGAGGAACTGTATATTTTGTCCGCTTTTATTGTCTGTCATGTTCATAGTGCCTAGAGATGGACGGGGAATGAGGGAGGAAAAGAGAGAGAGAGAGGGGGGGAGAAAGAAAGAGAGAGAGAGAGAGAGAGAGAGGAGAAAGAAAGAGAGAGAGAGAGAGAGAGAGAATGGGTGGGGGAGGTGTAAATTCCTGCATTTTTTCAATATTTTTTTTCCAACTATCACACCATCTTTAAAATGGTAGGTCTGGAAAAATACTACACCCGAAAGATCGAATGCCGTCAATTAAATAAAACAGTATTCACGTACCGTGTACTCGTCTATGACAACGCAACCTATGACAAACGATGCTAAAAGCTGAACGCTACGAGGAATTCTTACTTTATTTTGGAATGCACCAGAGTTATCTGTGGATTCGAGTTCAATAAACGCTTTGGATTCTACCAGAAAGGTGAGAACATGGTTGATTTCCGGAATCATATATCTTCGTCATCACGAATACATGCCGCTGCGATTGTTTACATACAGTAGGGAAAGTGCATGTTTGCGAAACGCCCACTTTAGCCTAGTTATCAGACTGAGGGGGAAATTTATTGTTGATCACTCTTCGTGGCGTGTGCGTTCCGTCAGATCGGGGGGGGGGGGGGGGGGGGGGGGGAGGAGTGGGTTATATTATCAGAAAGATGTTTAAATCTGGTAACAGTGCGAATCTGAATTATTTACTGTATACTCTATGTTGAAATAATTGTTAAACATTGTGTTTCATATTGTTAATGAGAAGGAAATAAATGTTAATAAAATACCAATATTACGTGGCAGTCCTCGATTGATATTGTTTCTAATACTATTGTAACCATAATTAATCGTTGTGGGAAACAATATTTGCATTACCATTTCTGATATTCTTTCTTCATTCTCTTATTCTAGCCCCTCCTTCTCCTCACCTTCCCTCTCCCTTTCATCCCCTTCTCCTTCTCTGAGTCTTTTCCTATTTAATTTTCCTTTTCTTCTTCCTCTTCTCTTCTTCCTAGTATTCATTTTATTCTTCTTCATCATCTTCTTCTTCATATTATCTTTTAATGTTAATTATTTTCTCCAAGTGCACCTTAATATTCACCCAAAAACTAGTATTGTGTTTACTATTGTAGGCCTAGCTACCATTTATTTTTGTAAAATTCGTCAAACTTCCGTTAATTTTGTTAACTCACATAATTCTCTCATTTGCTGAATCGTACACTAAAAGCAGTTATTCACATTATTTTCTACCGTAGGTTTGATTCAACATTCATTGACATTTTATTGAAACGTAAAGAACTACATACACTTTCTGCAGGATACATCATTACAGAGACACCTTCGACACCGACATGGCTTCAGTCGACGAATATGCGCATGATAAGGAACCCATGGTCATTGATCACGGATCGTTTGAAATACAAGCGGGGTTCGCCGAAGAAGACTGTCCTCGGACCGTCTTCCAATCCATCGTCGGAAGACCCCGGCACCAAGAGGTGTTAGATGATCTGGTAAACAATTTTATAAGATGAAAACGTGGATCCGAATCTAATGATTGGTTGAAAGCGTACACGTGACCAAGCATTTATTTTGCCTCACGCATAATTTGGATAATGACGGTCATGATTCAATTCTAATGACCGGTCATTAGTAAAATCATGTTATAAAACATCATTTTATATAACAAATAAAACAAGTCATAATCTTATAAACCAAGTAATACACAGCATTTTGTTCTGGCAATAGTAAAATTACCGCCACTAGGTATCTTCAAAACAGACCAAACACCCTCGGCTACCGCCTCTGGCGTGTTAGACTGTTCCAAAGGTACCTTGTGTGGGTAATTCTTACTAATGCCCTCACTGCTGTGTATTATTTGTATATTTAAACTGATTTGAATGAGGGGGCGGGGGAGGTAGGGTGCCTTCACAAAATAGGCGGACAGGATATGGCTTACATTTTCCAGTAAGCAAGCGATTTAAAAAAAAATAGGACAAATAGAAAGAGAGAAAAGGTTACTCATATCTCTAAAAACTGAAATGTTAAATGTCAATTTAAAAGGGCCGAGGAGTGACCACTCTTTAAAAATGTCAGATTGTTTCTTTTAACCTGCTAGATTCAACCTTTATAGTATTGGATCCAGCATGTTCAAAGTGTTAATCTACCATTTTGAAAGAGTGGTCACTCCTCAGCCCTTTTAAATGGTGATTTAACATTTCAGTTTTTAAAGTGACTGATTTGCCGTCAGCCTGCTATAAGAAAATTCCCCAAGTAGTATGTTTCTCAATATTTTGTAATGATTATATAAAAATGGCTTGTATTGTAAATAATTTTATTTCATTGTAAACTAATACTCTCAGCCTTCACTGCTGGTCATCATTTCAATAAGTAGACATCCATAAAGATAAGTATATATCAGATAAGTAAGTAAGTAAATAAATGAATGAATGAATATATTAATACATTAATAAGTAAATAAATGATTCTTTTCGCTTAGACTACTAAGCTCAACTTTCGGGATAGCTATGTCGGGGAGGAGGCACAGAACAGGCGGGGAGTGCTTACCCTTACCTACCCGATCGAACGAGGTATTATCGCCAAATGGGATGATATGGAAGCCGTTTGGAGTCATACATTTTCTGAAATAAAGTTCAACCCACAGGACGAGGGAGCTGTGCTGTCACAAATACCCAACAATCCAAAGCCAAACAAGGAGAAAATGGCTGAGGTAAGTAGGAAAATACGGATCTAATTATAGAGTGTGGGTGATGGGAGCTGGGCAGGGACAGTTCGACTGGTCTTAGAGTGAGTTTGAGTTTGAGTTCGAGTTTGAATTTGAAGTTTATTATCCAAACAAAAAGTACATCAATATAACAATCAAATGTGAATGGTTAACATCGAAAGGATAAATGGGACCAGAAAATATTCTACATCTAGGGTAAAAATGTTCTGTGATTAAATACAAAGCTTTGGTATTTACACTAAATAAGAGATAAAGAATTATATAACATAATATTTACAAAAAGACAAGAACCTTGGTTCAAAAGGTAGATTTCTAAACAACCGGATTTCAATGTCAAGCCTGTTAAGTATTATATAACTTCTTCCTCTTTTGTTTTTCGATTGAGGGGTCATGATTATTGCCATACAATCATTTCCGTTGTGTGTGAGTGTAATGTCACCACTGTGTGCTGCATGACAGAAAACAACAAAGCCAATACCCCCCCCCCATCAACGTAGTATTAATTAAAGACACTGGCGAAAGTGGCGCCACCCCCCCCCCCTGCACCATCCCAGTCTACCCCTCAAATGCAAGAGTCCGTGTGGAAGATGTATTTGGTGTTACACCAAATTTATACAACTTTAATATATTTAGTATAAGCTACACTTCAAATTGAAATGATAAATAACTTCAAAGTACGAGTGACAAGGTTTTAAAAATTGTAGATAGCAACCATACATCATTTTGAAAACTCCGCCACTGCTCGTCCATTTTAACAGTTGTTTAAACACTTTAATTTTTAGAATGCTTAAGATGTATAGTGAAACTCAGGAAGCTAACTCGGTGAACATGCAACCCTTTTTGTCCAATTATGTAGATATTTTTTGAGAAGTTCCAAAGCCCTGGGATCTGTCTAGCGAATCAGGCTGCTCTTGCCCTCTTTTCTTTGGGTAAGACGTGCGGACTCATCGTGGATTCTGGACATGGCGTCACCCATGTAGTGCCGATCCATCCAGAGAACCCCCTCCCTCCTACTACTCTTCAAATGGACCTTGCTGGCGGGGACTTGGACGAAGCTTTGTTCTCTCATCTTGTTGACGAACATAAATACAACGGTAATTCAGATTCGTATGTTCTTGATGGTTGTGTTTGCGTGATACAATCATAAACACAAAATATGAGGAAAAAGTTGATGGTGTCATGGTTCATGTTTAGTGGTTCACTCACTTGACTCTCAATACAAGGGTTGAGGGTCCGAATCTAACGTCCCTTCACAAGAAATTAACAAAAGAAGAAAGTCTCAGGTCTAGTTTTTCATTTGTTAAACGTGATCTAAGACCCAAGGTCACAGGTTTAACTGAATTAGTAGACAACGTGTATAGAATACGGACCGAAGCTTAGCCCCCCTCTTTATGTTGACACGATAACTTTGTTTCTCCACAGGTAGACTAACGGACCTCCGTGTCGTCAAGGAAAAGCTTTGTTACGTCGCGCTCGATCCTGACAACGAAAGCCAGGCCCGTACACCACCGATGTACTCTTCCGATCAGAACACCTACGAGCTCCCCAGTGGCGAGACGATCACCGTCGACCCCGCAGAGCGCTATGGAATCCCTGAAGCTCTCTTCAATCCAAGCATCATCAAGAAAGACTTCTTTGGTATTCACGAGATGGCCTACAACAGCATCAGTGGCCTTCAGACCGATGTCCGCGAGGACCTTCTTAGGTTGGTCTACCTAGTAGGAGGTTCTACGCTGTTTCCGGGATTTAAGGAGAGAATGAAGCGGGAGCTGACTGCCTTAGCTCCTCCCTCCATGAAGGTCTCTATCGTTGCAACCCCTGACAGGAAATATTCCGTCTGGATCGGAGGTTCCATCTTTGCTTCAAGAAATCCTGACTATATTGAAACGCATTGGATTAAGAAACAGGAGTATGAGGAGATCGGACCCGATGTGGTCCATCGGAAGTACCTATAGGTTGTATCCGCGGATGCTACTCCGCGATCTGTGTTCTATATCTACAAACCCTGGCTATTTTCGCGGCAATCTGAATTTGAATGTGTATATCATGCTCACCTAATAATTATGTTTCAAAACAACCTAGGCTTATTACGATGACACAATTCAGTCGGGGTCGGGTTTTCCGAAAATAGATTTATACTGACGTTACTGACTTTAAGCAGATTACTTTGAAAATGCCTTGTTTGTCTACCATTTAATATGTTTTGCATAATATATGGGAGACGTTTTATCGTGAAGAAGAAAACAATCTTCACAGAAAGTTTTTAGAATGTCTTATGTGACATGGTTTATATAGATACTTGACTTGCAAGTTTTATTCTGTTTATTTTTAAAGGTACATGTCGTTGGCCCGAAGGTTCACGATTCCAAAATACCCATGTTTTTTTTTTTTTTTAGGAATTATGAACCTATAAGTTTGTAGAAAAAAGAGTGCTATCCTTCTTTTTATATGTCTGTGTATGTATTGAAAAAGGTAATGAATAAGTAAATAATGGTAAATGATCATAAGGCTTTATTTACATAGGGTAGCCACGTTAGTGCTAATAATGCTCTTCCAAAGGGCCCTGTAATTACCCCCCCCCCCACCCCCACCACTTATAAATATTATGAACCCATCTTGTACATCGGGTCAAGAGGGAGAAAATAATGTGGGCAGAATAGAATATTCAAGGATGTAAGCAACCGGCAAAGTTCGAACCGAGGACCTTTCATAATTATGAGAGTCAAAAGACATCACCAATATACCGTGGTGCCCCCCCCCCAATCATTGGGAGACTAGATAGATTTGCATTTAACATAAGTAAAACTAATTAATACAAATGGATGATGTCTCATTATCATTTTGATAAATACTATTAATCCATACCTATACGAAAAGGAAATAAATAAATAATCTAAAACGTCAAACGGATGAACCCTTCCAAAACACGAAACCATTCCTTAAATTTCAATTTTGCTCTATTATCAATGTCATCATTCTGTGTATTCCTGTTTGATTGGAACGTATGAACGTGTACTTATTCATGAAGTTTATTTCTTGTTAATAATTATTTTTTCTGTTTTAAAAATATTGTGGTTTTCAAAGCGTACGTCAATCAGGGTAAGAAACTGATAGTCCTATTTCATAAAGAACATTAAAATCATATTTACATCTCTCTTCGATGTAGTACTGTATCGGCCAAAATACCTTTAAACAAACAAATCACCAGTTAAATTTTACATTTCCGAGCGTGAACCCTTCTCTCTCTATATTATATCTACAAGCTATATTTACCACTCTCCCCCACTCTCCATTCCTCTCACTCTCTTTCTCTCTCTCTCTCCCTATATATATATATATATATATATATATATATATATATATATCTCTTTCTGTCTCTGTCTCTATCCACAAGCTATATTTCCCACTATCCTCCCACTCTTCACCCCCTCTCTCTATATCTCACCCTCTCTCCCTCTCTCTCTCTCTCTCTCTCTCTCCCTCCCCCTCTCTCTCTCTCTCTCTATCCACAAGCTATATTCCCCACTCTCCCCCACTCTTCATTCCCCGTCTACCGTCCACAGTAATGTTGCTGCCAGGGCCATATTTAGAGGCATATTTCTGTATGTATGCCATAGTGGGCTTTAGCCTGTTCGAGAGCACATGCCCCTCCTCTGGAACTAGTTGTATACCAAATTTCCTTATTTTTTGTTTTTGGGAATAGCCATTGATATTATGTTAAACATTACCACACTCGTGTACAAAATAATTTGTATCAAAATGTATTATACTGCATATACATAAATCTCCATATACATATTTTAACTATTATTATTTATTTGGCATTTCAAACATACAATAGAAGGTACAATAGAATGGCACATAGAATACAAAGTATGAAAGAAAAAAATTGGCTTCCCCTGCTGCACCTCTAACCCGTAAGTCATTTTTTCCGACTCCAGAAAATGCATCAGGGGATGCCTAAAATATCATACATAATCAGATTTAAAAAAACAAAAAAACAAAACTAATTGATGACAATGATAAACTTAAGCTTGATAAATTGCAATATGTTATCTCAGGTGTCACTGGCATCTGTCTAAGTGAAGCAAAAAAGAAAAGTAAGTATATGTTGTATATATATATATATATATATATATATATAATTCGGGACTGTAGAATACATTAGTAGAAAATGATATTGAAAGACAGAGCTTAGCGAAGTGCTCAGCAGATATGTACAAATTTATAGTAAGATACATTCTCCTCGTCCAATTGGTAACTATGGTAACACGAACCAAATTGCTAACTTTAATTCTGGACCTAACACTACACCTAAACCTAATCTCAACTCTGACCAAAAGTGAGAATCGAAATCACAACCGAAGCCCTGGACCAGATTTCGTTTGTTTTATCTTCTTTTTTTTTACAACTGAGTTCATTCATCATTTTCCCCTTACGTCCCACAAACAGCGTGTTACGCAAAGTCCTTTCGCACCGGGCCATGCGTAGAGTTGCTACCGACTACGTACGCTGCCCTACGCAGGCCTACGTAACTATACGCTGAGGGACGCAAGGGGTACGCATGATGGGCGCAAAAAATAAACGTGTTTAATTTTGTTGGCGTACTTTCGGCGTAGACACGAGACGCAGAAAGTACGCATGTTTGTACGCAAGTCTACGCAACAGTACGCTACCCTACGCCAGTCCGACGAAGCAGTAAAAGCTGGCGCACACAGTAAGCAACCGTACGCAACGTACGCAAACCTGTACGCCAGGCGTAAACTTACGCAACACTACGCGTGTAATACGTGATAGTACGCGTAGGAACGCCAATTGTATACGACGTAGGTACGCGTTGCCTATGCACAGGGTACATAAACATACGCCATCATTCGCGAGCCTACGCATAACCTACGCAGGGACTACGCCGAAGCAACATTTTTTTCATGAATACGAAGCCGAATTTTGGCGTAATCAGTACGCCACACTACGCAACTCTACGCACAACCGGTGTGAAAGGGGTTTAAGAATGAAAGGACTGTCTCCGTTTTACCGTTGAGTGTGTGTTATTTTCTCAGCTACTTAGGCGTGCGACACAGAAAAAGCCCAGGCAGAGGACTACCTGGTTCTAGGACAATCACCCCCAGCCAATTACCAGCAGGACAATTCCCCCCTAGGACAATTACCTCCCCCCTCCCTGAAATTTACCGTGTACCAAACACTGCACATTGCCCTCACCCTAACACTGACCCTAACAATAACACTAACACCAATCCCAACAATAACCCTAACCCTTACCCTAACACTAACCTTAACACCAATCCTAACACTTATCTCTCAACCTAACACTTACCCTAACACTAACCATAACACAAACCCTAACACTAACCATAATACTAACCCTAACATTTACCATAAACACCGGAGTGTTGGCTCAGTCAGTAGAGCGTCCGCCTCACAACCGGGAGGTCGTGGGTTCGAACCCCGGCCGCGTCATACCAAAAGACGTTAAAAGATGGGAGTTGTTGCTACCTTGTTTGGCGTTCAACAATAAGGGATAGAGCAACGTCGATCTGGCGCTGCTCAGTGGCTGCCGGGCTCACGATCAATTGGGCAAAAAGATTTTCCGTTTCGGTTTAATAAAATTTGGAGTGGACTATTAGGCTATTATTATTATTAATAAATACTAACCCTGACACTAACCCTAACACTTACCCCTTACCTTAGGAATAATCTCAAACCGAATTGCAACGTTGGCTCTAACCCTACATCTCTGACAAAATGCAGTCCAAAGTACATACCGCAAGACCAAAATATGTCGTATCACCTAAACATTTTATCAGCTTGTAAACACTTCTGCTAGTTCGTACATTTTGTATATACAACACTTGGTCCATGTTCGTCATACTCCTTCTTCGTAATCCAACTCTCCTTGAAATTTGAAAGAGAGGCAAGGATGGACCCACCGATCCACACCGTATACTTCCTTTCGGGCGGAGCATTGACCCTGACCTTTGCCTTTTGAGGAAACATGGCGGACAGTTCTTTTTGGAGTCTTTCTTGGAATCCTGGGAACATCGTGGATCCCCGACGAGAAAGACATTGCAGTAAAGATGCACTCGGAGATCGATGTCGCATTTCATGATGGCGTCGTAGACGAGTTGGTGAACGCTGGCGTGATCGCGATCAGCCAGAGAGGGTTGGAAGAGGATTTCGGGGACGCGGAAGATCTCGTTGCCAAGAGTGATATCGTGGAGATCCGGGAGTGTATAGGTTTTGGTCAATGCAGATGAGCCGAGCATCTCTTTCTCAAAGTCCTGAGCGATGTAGCAAACTTCTTCTTTAATCTCCCGAACAACTTCTCTCTCGGCTGTACATTTTGTGGAGTATCAAAAGGAAAAAAACATGCATGTCTTACAAATTTGGAAACACGTTAATGAAACTTTGAAATGCCCCCTCTCTTTTCAAATCTATGAAGTGAAATGAAAAAGCAGCTAAACAACTTAATATATAATATATTCAATAGTCTGATCAACTTGAAATAACTTTGGCACCTTCAGTAGCATCACCAAGTCTGTCAGGAGTTTCGGACAATTTTCACAAAATAAAACTTCAGTAACACTAATTAAAGAGGGAGCCAGTACGGTAATACCGATGACAAAGATAACAGTGACAACGACAATGATGACGATTACGATGATGACGACAATAATGATGCCAAAAATCATGACAGTGATGATGATGATGATAACGATGATGATGATATCATGACGATGATGATAATGATGGTGATGATGATAATGATGTTGATGATGGTCATGGTGATGATGATAACGATGGTGATGATGATGATTATGATAACGATGATATTGATGATAATGATGATAATGATGGTGGTGATGATCACGAAAAACTATAATAATGATTACGAAATCGGCAATGATAAATCATAGAAATAATATTAATGATGATGAAAGAGGGGAAGGAGGATAATGGTGGTGACGGTATTGATGATAGTGACGACGACCATGATTATGATGGTGATGATAGGCCTCATGATAATGATAAAGATGACGGTGATGCTGTCAATGGTGATTATTATGATAATGATGACGATGAATATTAATCAGTCATTCACTCTGTTTGATGTTGAACCATCAATGGAAGACACCCCTTACCAGTTGTAACAAACGAATACCCCCGATCATTCAGCATCTTCATCATGTGTTGGGTGAGATCCCGGCCACCAAAGTTGACTTGCTTAACGGCGGGGGTGATAATGTAGCACTCGAATACCGGTACGACACTGATGACCCCGTCGCCGATGTCCAGCATGACGGACATGGTGCGACCTGCCGCACAGTGGGACAAGACGCCCTGTGTGCAGACATGGAAAGCTTTGGCGCCAAATTTCTCGAACATAATCTGGTGATAAAGGAGACGATGTGAACAGCATTATAAAAGAGATCTTAAATAAAAATCGGTTTAAGAGATAGTTATTGAAACGGTGTGTGTGTGTGTGGGGGGGGGGTGGACGTGTGTGCACGAGTGTGAGTACTCAGTTTTGACATTATTTATAGACAGAGCGCGGTTCACGTTAATGGTAGACCTTACAATCGCTAAACTTTCAAGAAAAGAGTTTCATTCTCCATATTGTCTTTCCATCTATGGGTGAGTTTTAGAATAAACGTGGAGGGGAAAGTTGATTGTGTTAACGTCACTATATTCCTTATTACTACAACACTACAATGACAAAATAGGGGGGGGGGGGGGGGCTAACAAAGGTGCTTTTGACCATACAAAATATAACTACGATCGCAAATACATTCGAAAAATTATTTTCAATTGTATATCCCATGAAATCACATTCGGATTACGCAATTCGTCTTTGTAAAGTCTGTACGTTTCAAACGATGATAACAATACAAGGCTTTTGAAACTGCATGAGGTATAATTTTAGAGAGTTTTCATTACCGTGTTAACTCGAGTTTTCCCTACTCAAATTAATCCTTTTTTTCACTACTCCACAAGTCGAAAAATTAAAAAGTTTATTATATGAA